CCCCAAAACCCCAAAACCCCAAAACCCCATGTTACTATTATTATGGATATTAAAGAAAACAAATGAAACTAATATAAATTATAATAGATATAATAGATATAATAGAATATAAAGAAAATTGAAATGCAATATGTCATTTATGATATTTGTGACTGGATTATTTTACTCCTTCAACTTATAGCTCTAATAATATTTACATATTATGCTATCTAATATACAAGACAGTATCAACAAAAGAAGGATAAATATGCAATAGCAATATTCTTTTTGGTATTTATGGCTATTTCATTGAAAATAATAACTAGAACAATTGCCCTTATTTAGATTGAGTCATAGAATTTGACTGTGCTTGATTGCTATGTTGAAAATTTAAAAAAACTTGGAGATTGTGGGCCAATGTATCATTTATCAACAGATTTAGGCTAATAAATATATCACATGGCAATTTAAGTAAATACAATAAGATGGGTGAATATCATTTAAGCTTACAAAAATAAACAAAAGAGTAACACAATTTAAGGATTGTATTTCTTTATGATAGCTTACGTTTCGATTGTCCTCATACTAAAGATTTCATATTCAATGACCGCTGAGAGCTCATACTCATTAGTCTAATAAATTCTAGACAAGTACGTTCAAGGCTTTCAAGCAACATTTTGCATGATCGTTTTGAGCACTTACATATACATCCATTACTTCTTCAGGAAGTATTACGATGATTTGATCGAGCGAACAAAGAATCATTCAACAGTAGAAGATGTGTAGAGTTTTAAGAGAAACAAGAAATAAATTTGTAGATTTTTTGAGATCTTAATTTTTGCCATTGTAATTAAGATCATTCCTGAGATTGTATTCCTCATTCAGCTGAATTCTGATTCAGAATTTTTCTTCGCTAATTATTAGCTCTATTTAGAGATAATGAATACTGTAATTGGATTATCTGAATTACTAATGATGCTAATATTAGCTCAATCAATCAAATGGTCTATGATTACATATGATAAATTCCTAAAAATTTAGTAGAATAAGGATTAAAATGTACTAGATAATCAGTTCTCCTCATCATTACTAATACCTGAGGATATGGACTGCAATCTTTAAGTAGTTTTCTAAGAATATAAATCATATGAGCTACAGACTACCTCATCTGAAGTGCGGATAAATTTCTCTGATGAATCTACTTAAAACTCATTAATGAAATGCTTAAAATGAAAAACTAATTGAAAATATTACATCATCTGAATAATAATAATAACTATATTATGGGAGTTGTTTAAATATACTTTATCAACTTTAAGCTAATTTTTAATAAAAAATAAATGATTCAATTTTCAATCTGGAAATGGAATGGGGTTTTGGGGTTTTGGGGTTTTGGGG